GCATCAGAGAGTTGGACAATGACTAGGGAGGATAGAAAGAGAATTGATGCCTTTGAGCTGTGGTGCTGGAGAAGAGTACTGAATGTACCATGGACTGCTAAGAAAACAGATTCATCCTGGAGAGGGTTAAACCAGGCTGCTCATTGGAGGCAAGGATTCTAGGGCTTCATCTGACATACTCTGGACATGTTGTAAGGAGGGACCAGTCCTTGGAGAGGGACATCATGTTTGGGCATCATGGAGGGGCAGTGCAGGAAGGGAAGGCCCTCTATGAGGTGGACAGATTTAGCGACTGCTGTAATTGGGATGGGTGTGTCGGAGGCAGTGCGATTGGCACAGGATAGAGCAGGGTTTAGGGCTGTTGTACATAGGGTTGCTATGAGTTGCAAGGGACTCAAAGGAGCATAACAATAACATACAAGGAAGTGCAGTGAATATCACCATCATTCAAATATATGCACCAACAACCAGAGCCAAAGAGGAAGAAAGAGAAGCTTTCTACCAATTTTACAGTTAGAGATTGATGGAACATGCAATCAAGATGCATTAATAATAATGGGTGACTGGAATGCAAAAGTTGGGAATACAGAAGGATCAGCAGCTGGAAAACATGGACATGGTGACAGACATGCAGCCTGAGATAGAATGATAGAATTTTGCACAACTTATTCATCGCAAATAGATTTTATAAGGAACACCAACGCAGACTATACACATGGATTTCACCTGATGGTATGCATAGGATTCAGATCAAGTACATCTGTGGAAAAAAAAATTGCTGGAGAAGTTCAGTATCAGCTGTGAAAACTAGACCAGGTGCTGATGTGGAACAGATGACCAATTTCTCATATGCAAGTTCAAGCCAAGGCAAAGGAAAATTAAATCAAGTCTAAGGAAACCAAAATTTGACCTTGAGTCTATCCCATATGAATTTAAAAACCATTTCAGGAACAAGTTTGAGGCCTTGGACATTAATGAGTGAAGACCAGATGAGCTGTGGGAGGCGATCCAGAATATCATTCAGGAAGAATGTAAAAGGTCATGGAAAAGAATGAGGAAGAAGAAAAGACCAAGATGAATGTCAGAAGAAACTCTACATATTGCACTGCAGCACCGAGTAGCCAAAGCAAAGGGAAAAAATCAAGATATTAAGGAGTTGAACTGAAGATTCCAGAGGGCAGTTCAGGAAGTAAGGTATTATAATGAAATGTGCAAGGAGCTGAAGACATAAAATCAAAAGGGTTGAACTTGCTCAGCATTTCTTAAGCTGAAGGAACTGAAGAACAAATTCAAACCTCGAGTTGCAATACTTAAGGATGCTTTGGGGAGAATATTAAATGATCCAGGAAGCATTAAAAGAAGATAGAGTACACAGAGTCATTGTACCAAAAGGAATTGGTAGACACAGAAGAATTTAATGAAATAACATATGAGCAAGAGCCTGTGGTGATGAAGGAGGAAGTTCAAGCTTTTCTGAAAAAACTGGCAAAAAATAAGGCCCCAGGAATTGATGGCATACTGGTTGACATATTTCAACAAACAGACACTTCCCTGGATGTGCTCACCATCTTGTGCCAAGAAAAAAACACCAGGCCAACTGACTGGAAGAGATCTGTATTTGTTCCTATTTCAAAGAAAGGTGATCCGATAGTGTGGAAATTACCAAACTATCATTTATATCACATGCAAGCAATATTCTGCTGAAGATTATCCAAAAACAACTGGAACAGCTCATCAACAGAGAACTGCCTCAAGTGCAGGCTAGATTTAGAAGAGGCTGTGGCACTAGGGGTATTATAGCTTATTTAAGATGTATCTTGGCTGAAAGCAGAGTACCAGACGAATGTCTATCTGTGCTTTATTGACTATGCAAGGGCATTTGACTGTGTGAATCACAACAAACTGTGGCTGACTCTCAGAAGAATGGGAATCCCAGAACACTTGATTGTGCTTATGAGAAACCTATACTTGTACCAGGAGGCAGTTGTCAGAATAGAGCAAGGAAACGGCATCATTCAAACCCGGGAAGGGTGTGCATCAAGGATGTGTGCCATCTCCACATCTTTTCAATCTATATGCGAAACAAATTATCCGGGAGGCTAGGCTCGATGAGGAGAAATGTGGCATCAGGATTGGAGATAGACTCATCAACAATCTGTGTTATGCAGACATAACCCTGCTTGATGAAACTGAGGATGACCTGAAGTGCTTGCTGCAGAATGTCAAGGACAGCAGCCTTCAATATGGATTGAAGCCCAACATCAAGAAAACAAAGATGTTCACCACTGGGCTGATGGGCAGCAGCATAATAGATGGTGATAAGATTGAGATTGTTGACAGCGTTAGTTTGCTTGGCTCTACAATCAACACTCTTGGTACCTGCAGCCAGGAAATGAAAAGACAAACTGAACTGGGAATGTCTTCTGTCAGAGACCTCACTAACGTACTGAAGAGCAATGGTATCAATCTGAAGAGTAAGGTGCACCTGATATATGCCACGGTCTTTGCAATTACTTGCTATGCATCCGAGATTTGGACAATGACTAGGAATGATAGAGAGTTGATGCCTTTGAGCTACAGAGTTACAGAAGAGTACTGAATATACCATGGACTGCTAGGAGAACAAACAAGTTCATCCTGGAAAGGGTGAAGCCAGGTTGCTCCTTGGTGGCAAGGATTCTGAAGCTTTGTCTGACATACTTTGGACATGTTGCAAGGAGGGACCAGTCCTTGGAGAGGGACTTCATGTTTGGGAGGGTGGAGGGACAGTGCAGGAGAGGAAGACCCTTGATGAGATGGATTGATTCAGCACTGGGGTAATGGGAATAAGTGTGTTGGAGACAATAAGATTGGCAAAGGATAGAGCAGGGTTTAGGGCTGTTGTACATAGGGTCGCTATGAGTTGCAGGCAACTAAACGGCACATGATGGCACATAACAACAACAACTGCTGTGTAGCAGGTTTTGAGTTTAGGGAATGCTATGCATCTCACTTCATTTTTGTTCTTCATAAGTGCTTTACTTTTTGTCTCTTTCCTCTCCAAATAAACTTGAAAATTATTCTTTTGATCTCCTTGAAAAATGAATTTGGTATCTGGATTGCGATTTTGTTGAACATGTAGACTGCTTTTGGTAGAAGCTGTAATTTTTCACAATATTGAGCCTTCCTATCCATGAACAAGGCACATTTCCCCACTTCTTTAGGTCTTTTATTGTGTCTCACAGAATTGTGTTCTGTAGTTTTCTTTGAACAGGTCTTTTGTGTCTCTAGTTAGGTTCACTCCAAAATCTCTCAATTTGTGGTTGGCTATTGTAAATGGTATTGTTTTCTCCTCTGAATTCTCTGTTAGTGTAGAGGAATCCCACTGATTTTCTGATATTGATCTTATATCTTGCCACTCTACTTAATTGGTCTACCAGCTCTAACAGGCTTTTTTTGTTGTGGTTGAGTCCTTGGGGTTTTCTGTGTACACTATCATTTTATCTACATGTAGCGATA